ATATACTGGTTTCTAGTACAAAATTTTTTAAAAAACACATATGGATACAATAATTTACTTACTTAATATTGTATTCTAGAAAGAAAAGAAACTCAGAAAAAAAAAATCAAAGTATCCTTTTCATAGATAGGGCAATTAATGTCCTAGCACCATCTCAAACTCCTTTAAAAAAGGATATACCTTAATAAACTTAAATTCAGGGATGTTTTTATGATGCAACTTTTTTTCTTCTCTTCATTTGTTTCCATCTTAAGCTTAAGCTCTTCAGCTGTAAGTGCTCCCAATTTCTTATTCTTTGCTTTCTTAAACTTTTCCTTGATGGCAGCCACTTCAATTTTAGTTTTAGCAGAGGCTTCCTTAGGCTTCACACCTGGCTTTTCCTTAAGTGCAATAAAAGCTTTGTTTCTTTCCTTTTGTCTCTTACTGAGAGCTTTTGCCTGTTTTGCCTTTACAGCTTCCATTTTTTGTCACTTCTTCTGACTTGCCTTCAAAAAGTATTCACCACTAGCCAATTCTTTGTCAATCTGACTTTCTGGCTGTGGTTGGTAATGGTGTATAAGCTTTCTTAACAGATTTCCTTTTGTTCCTTGAGTTAATTCACATTTTTGTGTTTCAACTGTGGCAGAAATCTTTCCCAACTTTGTGACCTTAATTCAGAATCTTTTGCCAAATCTCATTTAATCGTCAAGGTTTTAATGTTATATATTGGATGAATATTCTTCATTAGTACCTAGGACTACTTTCCAAATCTCTTTTTTAGCCACTGAAGAGGTCAATGGCTGAAACTGTGTTTCCCTGATATAACAGTTTGTTAATGGTTTTAATGCCTTCAAAGTAGATCCCCTGGGGCCAATAAGTCATTGTCTTTTTTTAAATAAAATTAGATTTATTATTTTTTATTAATTTCAATGAACATTTACAGAGATTTTGGATTTCCATTCATTCCTTGTTGCACTTTTCTCCCCACTCACTCCACCCCCAGTTCGCTCTTCTCCTTGAAAAGCAAAAGAAAAAACTCCTTCATTGGTATATAATCCCCCCGCATCCCCCCCCACCCTGAGTATACTCCACTCTGCAACCCTCATTCCAAACTCTTATGAGGGAGAGAACAGTTTAAAAGTAATATATTTTAGGGCCTTATGATTGTCTTTGTCTTCTTTTTACAATCCTTTCTTTATTTCAAACCAAAGAACCTATTTTAATGATGTCACATGAAATCATCTTGAAAAATTTGTGTTACCTGTTCAAATGAAACACTCCTTGCTCAAAGTTTTATGAGGTCTCTGACCCTAATGATGATATAAGGCTCAAAAGTCTTCTTGGTTATACAGTTATGCTGCCTTCAATCAGGTCCAAGGTTGCATTAACATGATGTTCATTCAAGGCTTTTTGTACCAAAGACCATCATTCTTTCAGGTAAGCCTCTCTGTATTTTGGAAACAATGTTGCAAAACTGATCTCTTCCAAGATTCCTCTGGGGTTGTCTTCTTTGGAAAATGCTGGTTCTTTCCCACCATCCAGAAGGGTCAGAAGTTCAGACTCATCTTTCTGGCTTCGACTTTGTTTACAAAACTGACATTCCCCAAGTCACTGGGGCTGATTTGTTCAGAGAGAAAGATGCCATCTTACCAACGCTAGGTATACTATAAATTAATGTTAACTGTCATAGTGCCGAAGGGATGATTATGACTCATAGCAACCCAATCCACAGCAGATCTGAACCTTGACCTATCCCAAACCATATTTATTGTCACTGATATGCTTGAGCCTATGGTTACAATTATTGTGTGAGTCTCTCTCATTGGGGTTTTCCTTTCTTTCTCTGACCTTCCAATTTTCCAAACATGTCTTTTTCCCAAGACTGGCCCCTTCTGACAACATGCCCAAAGCAAATGAGATGAAGTTTTCCCATTCTTGCCTATAA